GGCTCTGCTGTCTCAGCTTTCTTCACGCCTGGAAACTCCAGGAGCTCTAGAACTACAGCAGGGCAGGGCTCTGCTGCCTCAGCTTTCTTCATACCTGAAAGCTGCACTGCAAGGGGACAGGATGTTGTGGAAGAGGAGAAACTCACGCCATGATGCCGGAGAGATGGAAGACCTCAGCGGACAGGTAGGCCATGTAGCTGTAGAGGAAAACGAAGAGGGGCTCGATGACGCGGGTGTGGGAGGTGAAGCGCGAGGTGAAGGCCGCCAGGATGCCGTAGACCGCGCCCACGAAGATGCCACCCAGCGCCACCACCAGGAAGCACACGACCCCCAGGAAGACATCCAGGAATGTCACGCTGCCCACGCCGGCGTACTCCTCGAAAAGGTGGTACAGCACCTGCACAGAGGATTCAAGAACAGAGCGTCTGAGACCGATATGGAGATAATGGCACAGGCTGAGCAAATGGACACTTCAACCTGACTATGGTATCCTGCTCTGTGGAGTTCTTGGCAGATGTTCCTTTAGGTTGGCAGGACGCTGAGAACATCAAGAAGGATCATTCATCTGCTCAAATCTCATTTCTTTCTGCATCACTGGACTTGCACACTTGCACTGTGAGCTGTGATGAGTGGTTTGTGCCGTCTTTCTCGGTTTCCCGAGATCTTCTCCTGGAGCCAAGCAATCCGCAATTTTGGGAACATAGCAACATGGGATGTTATTTGCTTAATTAACGCATGAAACACATCTGCGTGGAAGTACTTGATTTCACTATACTTGATGTTGCTCATTTGCTCAGATGTTTCAATTTTTGTCCGCTACCTCTGTTTGTCCTGTAAACAAAGCTGTACTGAAAATGCATTAGCAAAATGCTGGCAGGTATTGCAGCCATGTTTCATACTGTTGTACTAACAACACTAATCTTGCCTAGAGGATTAGAGGTATTTTGTTCACAATGAACAGACAAGATCAAAACTCTTTGCATCACCTTCGAGGCCTAGCTGTTGTGACCATTTGGGAAGACATAAATTTAAGTGTTCGTGGGACAGAATACCCGTCATTTTTTTGTCACCTAACTCTTTGTAGTTAATATTTCTTCACAGAGAATCTTTTAATGAGAAAAAAGATACTGGATATGAAGATCAGCAGATTATCTTCAGTGGAAGTAGTTACAGAGCTTAGGGGTTAAAGAACATGAAAGCCATGTGACAGTGACAAGTGCACTAGGGTAAAGAAGTGTTCCTGTTCCACAATATATTCCACTCCTTACTTGATGTAAAACACAATACAATAAAATAATGCATCCGCAAACAGATTTATGCCGTTGTCAGAGTAAACATTTTAATTCAAAGTTGATACTACTTATGATTGCATTTGTATAGTACTTTCCTTCTTAAAGCTCTTTACATATAGGAGGAGGACCCAGTTCATTTAATAATGAAATGCAGCTACTATAGTGGGCCAGCACCCCAGTCCACAGAAGATCGCTTCACTGGTTGAGATAAGAGGGGAACTTTACGAAGACCAGATTGTGCCAGTGCAGGGCAGAATACAGCCACACCCTTACTCTGCCAAACAGCTTCTTTGAATCCTTAGTGATCAGGTTGTCAGAAGTTAGGTTTAATTCATCCCACAGAACAGCAGTTGGGTTTTGCCCATTAATTGGACATTTATGTTGATATCTTAACAGAATACAGTGAGTGGTATCCCGTTATGATTTTGAAACAAAATCTCCACACACAGGGATAAAACCATACAGTATAATTAGTTCAAATGTAAAAGGCACTGAACACGTCTTGTTTTCTAATATATGGAAGAGTATGAGGTCAAGCTGCAAATGGCACTTACCAATCCCAGTTTAACATACAACTTCGATGCCAATTTATTTAGTTTTACTAAAAACTTTAATTTTGTGCTGGTCTCCATTTTGTCTGCCTGTCTAACAGCGACAGGCTGCAATTCGAGTAAAAATGCCAAGAAGAAAGAGACGATAGACAGCCTTAAGCAATGAGAGAGAAGTGGTGTCATGAGGGCTGATCCAGCAGTTTCCAGTGCACTCATCTGACCGGATCTGTTACCAGTTTCACAGAGGAAATACAACTGGCACGTGCCAACTCCTTGCAAAGATGCAATATGCACCATAGTGGTTATGTACCAGCACCAGCTCCGGTCTCATGAGAGAGATGTACCAGAACCACCATTCTCAAAAGGTAGGATTGACAACAGACACAGCCCACTCTCACATTGGGCACATGGGAATTTTAAGCCTGGGCATCTGGTAGCCATGCCGAAATCTAACAAGTCACTCAGCTACTCTACCCCAGGCTATATTCTTCCACAAAAACATACACATTGAACACAATTCGGACATTACATCGGAATCTATTAGATGAACTGTAAGAAAGGTAGTAGTGGCACAGTTGAGCAGTGGTTATCATTGCTGCCTCACAGCACTAGGGCTGTGGGATCAATTCCTGGGTGCTGTCTATATGGAGTTTGTATGTTCTTCCTGTATTCATGTGAGTTTCCTCAAGGTGCTCTGGTTTCCTCCCACAGTACAAAGACAAACTGGTAGGTTAACTGGCTTCTGGGAAAATTGGCCCTGGTGTGTGTGTTTGTGTGTTTGTGTCTGTCTGCCCTGTGATGGACTGGCGTCCTGTCTTGTGCCCATTGCTTGCTGGGATAGGGTCTAGCTCCCCCCCCAACCCTGAATTTTTAGAAGTGGTTAGAAAATGTATGGATGGAAGAAAAGGAGCTCACTTTAGGTAGGTACATCTTCCATTAGCAAAGTTATAAAATCTCTTTTCAATTTACTGCATGGATACTGTAATAAAAAATATTTCTTAAGGCAGGATTAAGGCTTTAAAACAGCTTAACAAATCGCTTCAGCTTAATGTGGTGCAGAAGTAACAGGATATATTTTCCAAAAGAACACTGTCAAACTGCCAGTCCCTATGGAGCTGTGCATCTTATATTCTTCAAGAGAAAAGAACATTACAGGTGGTGAGATTAGGGATGGACACTCACTGAAACAGTCTCTTCTACGGACTTTAACTCCAGCGAGACAATGCCAACAGGCTGAAATGATCTCTTTCTTTTATGCCGAGTCATATGAGTGACAGCCAATTACAGACTTTTCAGCCTCCCAGAAGACAAGTCTCTCCAAACCGCGGGATCACAAATTGAAAATAGATTTTTCCCCGGAGCTACAATAACAGTCAGGCCCTCTGAAATTCAGGACAGCAGGCTTGTAAGCGAGATGAAGTGAAATACAGAACTTAAGCTGAACCCTGAAAAACAGATTAAATAACAGTGGCAATATGTTTATGAGGGGGACTAATCTGAGATTTTAGCAATCTCCTGGTGTAGGCAGCAGAATACCAATTCTGCCGGTGTGGGGAATACGTATAAAAAAAAAGTTTAAATGGCAAGAAAATATATAAAAAGTAGCCACTAATTTAAGGGAAATTATTCTTAGTCGCTTTTAGAACCAATGGTAGTGGAGAGTTTGTTCCTGGCATCCACAAATCAATGTCTTGAAGAAAATCAAGTAGAAAATCTTATCCCATCATCATCTCCTATCTCCTTTCCCAATCACTGTGCCATCTAGTAAATTTATCCTCTCAAGCGCCCTCTGTGATTAAGTTCTAGAATTTTCTGCAAGAGGCCTGTTGGCCACATGTTGTAACAAACATGCAGTATATGTGGAGACCACAAAAATTGGAAGTAAGAAACATGACAGAACCCATTCAAGAAGTCAGCAAAAAAACAAACTTTCTTCCTTTCAAGAAATGGAACGACAGGGCTTTCAGCAATCTCGAAGCAACTGTTTTCCTGCAGGAGTATGAACGCAGAAAGGGAACAGAGCAGCACCTTCATGGCGACCCGTTGCTAAGCAACAGCTTACCACAGTGACAGCGTCGTTAAGCAGGGACTCTCCGAACACCAGGATGTGAAGCAGCTCGTTGATGTGGATCTCCTCGAACACGGCCAGCACAGCTACCGGGTCCACGGCCGAGATGACTGCCCCGAACAGCAGGTTGGGCAGCAGCCCGATGCCCTCCAGGCCCGACCCCTCGATCTGGCACACGGCGTACAGCAGGCCCCCCACGAAGAAGGAGTTCCACAGGGTGCCGATGACCGCAAACATCAGGATGGTGCCGATGTTCTCCGTGAAGGGGCGGATGGGCAGGAAGTAGCCGGCGTCCAGGATGATGGGCGGCAGCAGGAACAGGAAGAAGACCTGGGAGTCCAGCACTGGAGGGCTCTCCCCCACCACCCTGATCAGGCCGCCCACCAGCAGGCCCACCACGATCAGCAGGCAGCTCTCGGGCACAATCGACGACAGGCGGGGGATCAGATGGAATCCTGGGACAAAAGTGAAGCGGGACATTCCATATACTGCACACAGCCAGCACTACAATACTACTGGAACACACTGTCTTCACTGGATAATACATTACTACTGAACCACATTGATCTTTAGCAAAAGGTATGTTAAGACAGAATAACACTGACTTTTTTTACCTGCTACGGCAACCCATTTTCTTCTACAAGGTGTTAAGGGTAGAAGTTGACATATAGCAAAAGGACAGAACAAACACTAACAGTGTGAAACATAGGCCCGTACTCTATATAAGACATGGGAAACCCCTTTTATTGTCCCATCTGGGATATTTGATTTGGAAGCAGGTAAAGGACATAAATGTCTTGTTTACTGTGTTAACACAACATGAACCTATTAACAAGTAAAAGCAACATGTGTGATGAGAGAGAAAATCTATAATAAATACAATCATTTGTCCAAATTAAGCAGTCGATTGGACTGGCCTCCCTGATAAAGGTTCTCTAAGTTTGCACTGGGCTTACAATCACTAAGTCTGAAGAGAAGACCTTCTTCAAAAGTGTCAAGATGGAAGTGACGAGCGGATGCAATTACAAAAACACCACCAGGCTTCCTTAATAAGGTTCTGTCTGCAGCCCTGAGTATCAGCAGCCCCACTCCCTACTGTCTGCTCTCTGACTGCTGACTGCCAGGTGTGTGCTGGCCTGAAGCCACACCGCTGTGCACTCGGGCATCACCTCAACTTCCTGATCTTTTCGGGTCGGAGAAAAAACAGAAGCGCGTGGTGGGGCCCCTGCTCCAATAAACCTTTAAATGGGAAGGACAGGCCTGTTTCATTCAGGCAGGGAGGCTGAGAGGACCACTCTGCGCTGAGAGCTACATTTTCACCTGAGGTTTATTTATTTATTTTTGAGTTGGGTATATAAAGTGGCTCACAGTGATAGCTGGTGAGGGGTTGCTATGGAGCAAGTCTTTGTGTAACCTGCCCATGAGATTTGGCTAAATAAAATCTCGGTTGCACAATATTTTGTTGTCCTTCATGGATTTCAACTGCTAAGTCCTCACAATACATCTGTTTCGAGGACGGCCTAGCAGACTCCTCTTGAAAAACCTTGGGGTTATATTCAATTCTGGCTTAACATTCGACCCACATGTACAGCATACTGTCAAAACATCTTTTTTTCACCTTAGAAATATCGCAAGACTACGCCCTATGCTATCATTAACTGTGGCTGAAAAGCTGATCAACATATTTGTATTCTCCCGAATTGACTACTGCAATGCTCTGCTCCCTGGTGTATCTAAATCTACTCTGAACAAGCTGCAGTATGTCCAAAATTCAGCAGCCAGAATCCTGACCAGGTCTAGTACAAGTGTTCACATTACTCCTATCCTGGAGTCCTTGCACTGGCTTCCGGTCAAATTCCGCGTAGACTTTAAAATCCTCATGCTCACCTACAAGGCTTTACATGGCTTGGCACCTCAATACCTGTCTGAACTTTTATCGCCCTACTCCCCACCTCGCAACCTCCGCTCTTCAAATTCTGCCCTCCTTACTGTCCCCCAAGCCCGTCTACATTGTATGGGCGACAGGGCCTTCTCCTGCTATGCCCCCAAGCTCTGGAACTCCTTGCCCAAGGATATTAGAGAGTCACCTTCTCTAAACTCCTTCAAATCCAGACTCAAAACCCTCCTTTTCAGAAAAGCCTTTACTTAACTGGTTCCATTCTTCACCCCTCTGCTCTTCTTAATACCATCTTCCACGGTCTCCTCTATTGTTATTGTTGTATTGTTGTAATTATAATTGTGTCCTGTCTTGTGAAATTTTCTTATTTATTGTTGTAGTCTTCTTATTTATTGTTATTGTCATCCTGTAAAGCGCTTTGAGAAGCCACCTTTAAAGGCGCTATATAAAATAAAGTTTATTATTATATTATTATTATTAAGTTTGAGAGGCATCATCCAGACCTGTACGTGCTTCAGCACCGTGCCTTTTACTGCCCCCACTGGATATAAACCCTTACTGCATTTGCAGTTTGCAATTACACATACTGCTTAAATGCAAAAACAACATGCTGTGTGCTGCATTCTCTCAAGGATAGAGGCCTCAGAAAACCAATATCATTTTGGTACATCCTGGTAGATCACAGGAACTTGTTTTTGTCTGGTCTTTTAAGAGTCTTATTGTTAAATGTGGGTTTTGTAATTCATTATTCAACACACAACAATAGAAGAACAGAAGACTACAGTACGCACTCAGACTTCTAGGCATATTTGTGGGCCATTACTGTCTGTAACCATTCCAAAAATTGTACAGGGAAAAAAAAAAATACGCGGAGCATAATTCATCCCCCAGTTACCTTAGACTGATGAAACGTTAAGGCGAGACGAAATAAAGCAAAAACAATAATTCGCTCTGGTGAAATTCATCTAAATGAGCTCTGTACTGACATGCTGTGGTGGGCTTCTACATGTCACCCCCAAGTCCTGAATGCTTCTTGAGAGTGAAGAAATAACTGCATATTAACCTGATCTTCTCCAAGTGAGACTTTTTCAATAATTACTCTTGAATACCTAGATGGCATTTCATCAGAAGAATGATCTCGATTTCCATGTGTTCGAATGGACACTAAGACATTCTCATGTATTTTCTAACTGCTTTCTCTACTTCAGGGTCACGGGGAGACTGCAGTATATCCCAGCAAGCAGGGGGTGCAAGGTGGGGTACACCCTGCATTGGTCGGCAATCCATCACAGGGCAGAGATGCAGACACTCTCATCCCACAGCCAATTTTGGCAGAAGCCAGTTAACCAACCTGCTTGTCTTTGGACTGTGGGAGGAAACAGGAACATGTGAAGGAAACCCAAATGAACATGGGGAGAACATGCAAACTCCACACAGACAGCACCCTGAGAATTGAACCCAGGGCCACAGTGCTGCGAGACAGGAACGCTAACCACTGCATGACCATGCGGTCCCAAAGCTAATTATTTCCAGCCTATTGTTAGTCATGTTAACTATTCAAACAAAGAAAATGCACATTGCTCCAAGTTTCTTGACACTGTTCTTGTTCTGGTGGTACACATGCTGCATGAATAAAACGGTGTGTTTTCTGCTGCACTTACAGCGCACACGCGAGCTACTGTAAAGCCTGCCGATTCCCAAAGGCAGGGCGTTGCAGACAGGCAGGGAAAGCATATGAAAAAATCTCAGGTGCTGACATGTCTTTTTGACAACGTGGGGAAGCAACACAAAACTCACACAGGAAAAAAATAGGACATCTACAGGTGTAGCAATTTTAATATTACTAAACACTGTGAACAAGTTGGGTTTCGATGATCTGAGAAAAAGATATTGCTGCTCTAGAACCAGTCCAGAGAAAAGACCAAATAAATTCATGCACTCAAAAGCATGTCCTACACTGATGGGCTAAAAGAACTTAATGTTTTCAGTCTTGAACAGACAAGACTACGAGGGGACCCGATTCAAGTATTCAAAATCCTCAAATGCACAGAACAAAAAAAACAAATGGCTTCTTCAGAATGATGAGCCAGCGAACACAAGTGGAAACTATAGTGAAGGATATTTATAACTGACAACAGGAGACCCTTTATTACACAAAGGGTGGCGGGAGTATGGAGCAAGCTGCCCAGTCATGTCGTTGAACCCGATACCCTGTTTTTTTTTTTCCAGAGCCACTGGCACATCCAGTTTGACCATTCATATACAGTCTTATGTCCCCCACTGTCAACGAATCCAGTTATTTCATTTGAGAATCATGTTCAGTCTTAATACTCGTTGTCTGCATTCCTCGCTAGATAAAAAGGTAGAGGTGAAGTAGAAGGCCTAGATGAACAAAATTCTTAAAAATGCCAAACGGGGATACTTAAATGAGAAAGAATGAAGAAAAGAAAAATCTAAAGACAGGCAGGAAATTACAGAGACAGAAAATGAGGGGAAAAACATCACAATTCCAGAGCAGTTCTGAAATGCTGATTGACTTAATTCATGCACTCCTGTGGAAAGGGTGGTTTTGGCTGTGATAACAAATGGAACCTAATCAGACACCCGAGGCCTAAAGAGTATCAGATGTCTCCCTTCCAGCCGTTAGACACTATCAGCATAAAAGAGAAAGACATTTTTGCTGCCAGACCAATCATAAAAGGTCTTCCAAAAGGAGAAACAAGAATCCCCTGCTCGAAGAGAGGTACCAAAATGTTTTTCCCCCACCTGAAAGTCCCAACGTGAGAATCAGAAATCCGCCCCCGCGCAGGTCAAATTCTTTTTTCTTTCCAGATACAGTATACCCCAGAAGGCTTCATTTTCCAATATTCCACGATGACCGACCAACACCACCACATGGTTCGCATTTAAAACGCGTCCAGGGAGGCCAGGAAGTGAAACCAACCGATGAGGAGTCGACTGCCCGCTGACCAGTGCGTCTCACAGCGACGTGTGCTCTACGGCCGTCTTACACACGGGACTTCGTATTTCACACAATCCTCAACCCAAAAATTAAAAACATGACATTCTCTCTAAAAAAAAAAAAGATCAATTTAAGGCAAGGTAATAAGGAGTGTTAATGAGAGAGCCCTAAAAAGATATTTATAATCCTGAAATACAGTGCTAAAGTGAACCCAAGGACACATTCTGTGTTTAATTGCATAACGTCATTAAATTCTCACTGAAATTCATTTTTCTACAGTAATGCTATGCCCTTACGGCCACAGGATGAGTGTAAATGAGAAATGCAGTGAACTTCAAATCTTATGATGAAGAGGACGACAGCGAACGACCAGCGTCTCAGCTGTTTCCCTGAACTGACAAGGCGATTCTTCCCCGCCGCCCGGCACTACCACACAGTCCCGAGAGCCGATTTAGTCCACACACCGCTAAGGCAGTGTCGCCCTCGCGGTCACGGCTTGCCATGCGATGACAACACTTGGCCGCAGTAAGTAAACAGATAGAGTGCAGTGATAACACAGAGTGTCAGAGTGCTCTGTTTCTCATCAACAGTGGTGA